TCTAGACAAAGTGAATGCCCCGTGTCTGTTTTTTCTATTACTAAAGCAATGGTATGTATTTTCTCAAATTGTTTATATTCACACTCCTAGTTTTTCTGTCTTAACTACAATATTCAGAGACTACTGGTAGGAACAAGTCAATTATAAAAACTGGCTTTTCCTCTAAATTAGAGTGCTAACCAAACTAGGGTGGGATTTTCTCCCTCACCCTCTCCTCAACTCTGAGCCACTCACAATACTGCTAAAAAGCTAACCCCATCCAAATCTATTTCTCTACCTCAAGGTAGACAGGCAGAAGGTGATATTTGGGGCATCTTATGAAATGTGATCTTTCTTCACTTTCTGAGTGGCTCCTTGTCCTCACATCTTTTCAGTGGTCCAGACCATCCATCCCTAAATAATCTGGGTCCCCCCCAAGGGATATTTAATTTTTCCAAAATATTTCCTCCTGCCTTGCAGGGGGAAGGCAGGGGGCAAAACACTGCTAGCTGGAGTCCTGGGTTCCCTCAAGAACCTCTGTCTAATGTATCAGTTTTTCCTTCACCCCTCTTTCTTACAGCCCCCTCTCCCAACAACTCTGACACCTGTTCCAAGGGAACCTGGCCGGAAGCCTATTTCTATGTCACCATATGGAGAAGTCACTGGTAGTCCCTCCCCTCCACCCAGGAGTGGCATGCCCACACCAAGCCCGAGCACCCCGGCTCTCTCTCCCATCTGGGTGAGCTCCTTCCTTCTTTCGCTTATCTAGTACCAGCTGGGAAGTTCAAGTGTAGCCTTTGTCCTTCAGAGGCTAAGAAACAACGCTGCCTACTCACCACCACCCTCCACCTGCTGCCCTTTTTCTTTCTCACCTAGATCCCAGGTTCTTCATGCCAATCGAACCCTAATAGCCNGGAATGTTGAGCCAATGTGTGAAGGCCAGCCTGAAAGAACATACTGTAACAGGGGTACAAAATAAGATAAAGATCTCTTTTTATCAGTGGAGAGAGTGATTACCATTGCGTAAGATCTTTCAGATACACTTCACAAAAACAAGTCCAGCAAAGTATTTTGTGACCTTGTCCATGCTTTTGCTGCAAAATGCAGCCATTCATTGAAGGAGTTTTTAAAATCCCACTTTGCCGGGCCACTTTTCAGACTCAGAGTTTCCAATGGTCATGATGGACTAACTTCTATTCCAGGCATTTCTGCTTGTATTTGAGTGTGTTCATATCCTGTGAAGTGGCTGCAGGCTGGGCAGAGTGAGGAAACCCCTAAAAAATGTTTCTCATCATCGGTTTCTCCTAGATGTCACATCAGGGACCCCACACAAGGCCTTCTGTCCCTGCTCAGCCTGAAGCTCCAGACTATTGCACGGTGTCTGATTTTCTGTTCTTTAGAGCAGGCTCTGAGGATCCGTCTCACTCCCCCATTAAGCAGCTGCATCCTCACTAGGGGTCCCCTTGCCAGCCTGACCTCAGAACTGCATGAGGTTCTCCCCTCCCTGACACCGGAAGGCCAGCACACAGGCCTGTACAAAATGAAAGACTTTATAGGCAGAAGGGAGCAGAAACAAGGAAGTTATAGTAGGGGAAAAGGCAGATTGGTTGTGGCAAGGTCACTTTCCTTTTAGGGGATGGATGGGGTCTATCAGGCAGGTGACCTAACTAGTGCTGATCGGGCGATTCCTGATTGAGTGGTTTAAGGTTCAATTTCTGGAAGAGGACTAATAATTAAGTCTCGGTTTGGTGACAAGGGGCTTATAAGCAACTCCATTTGGGGCCTGTTGTCTTGTTTCAAACAGGCTGTAAAACTAAAGTCTGACCATAGAAGGGAGGCAAAACAGTAAGTGAGGACACTGTCTCTCTTCATTTGTCATGGCAATTTGCATGGAACTTCAGGAGAAGCCGATGAGTGAAAACAGACTTAATTCAAAAGCCTGAGTTTGCAGGAAATTCAGAAATTTTGTCATCATTTTTAATATTGAAGTCTTGTATCCATTAGTAGTTAGTAAATTGAACAGCAGTTACATATAACTTTGCAGAGCCCTTCAAAGAGAGTTTTACCATTTAATCAGTATATAATAAAGTGGCTACAACTAGTCTCTTTCCTTTCTACTAACCCTACATCCTGCTATTCTGTCTTGCTCTTTCTGCCTCTTTTGTTTTTTGTATTTTTTTAATGTCATCTCTGCTACCCGCGTCCCCCGATCCACCCAAACCAATCCTTCAGGGGGTTCACTTAATATATCTTCTCTGATCAATCCACCATCTTCTAAAATTCTTTAATTACTAAAACATATTTTCTACTATTGGCCTGTATCATGTTACCAATTATTTTCAATCATAGTTTTAGTTGTGTCTCATTTCCGAGATCTATAAGCTTACTAAGAATTTCTGTTTCCTTGAGCCTTGCACAGCACATATATAACTTGCTCAATATTTTGTGTGATTGCAATTAACATGTCAATTATTATATGTAAGTCAGAGCTTTCAAAGTGATAGAAGATATTTAGAAACAGTTCTGATAAGGATTCTTAATCTTCCTCTGAAATCTTAACTATGTCATTAGTTTATCTTATCCAGGAGAAAATTTGCCAAGTATCTGTAAGTTATTCCTAGTACCAGCCTGATTGATTCCAAAATAACTGACGAAGATTTACAAGAAGATTTATAATCAATGCTTGTGTATAGATACAGAAACAAATTAATATATTAATAAAGACTAATAAATTAATATTAATAAATTGAAAAAGATTATACTGCCCAATGCATGCATTATGAATATGCTTATTGATAATAACTTTGGTAAAAATCATTGGATATTTTATGGAGTACAAATAATCTAATGCGCTTTAAAAATCTTATTTGCTCCTGTTTTGTTTTGTTGTGTTTCATGATAGGCTTGTACAACTCACCCTACAGCACTCAGTCACATCCTGCTGCAAAGACCCAGACCTACAGACCTCTTTCCAAAAGCCACTCGGACAATGGCACTGATGTCTTCAAGGATGCGTCCTCCCCTGCCCCTCCCCCACATGTTCCTCCTCCAGTTCCTCCACTTCGACCAAGGGATAGGTCTTCAACAGAAAAGTAAGGC